GAATTTCTTCTAGAATTTTTCATACCATCGATCATTACGGCATTTAGTATTTCCAAATTTGGTAAAATACTTGACTGAGATATAGAGGTAGATTTTTATTTTTTTCCCTTTTTAATTTTCCAAACAATTCATTATGCTAATAATAAAATAATTTTAATATATATGCGTAAACATCTAAATTCAACAAATTTTATTGGTTTAATTGCTTGCTCACATCTTTTCAATCTTTTCGATTTATAGCTAACACTATCATGATTCCCCCAAGCTCTACTTTTATAACTGTTTCTTGTTGATTTTGGGTATTGAAATAGTTTGGACAGACACGAATAGTCACACATAGGTCATAATCTGGATAATCAGGAATAGATTTGAAATTATATTGAATTGGAATATAATTGCCTGTATGTATAAGTACTTATTATCATAAGAAGAAGAAAAAAGGAGAAGAACAAAAAATCAGAAATTTATAATCAATGTATTAATCCCATCATCCATCCATCTACTCATTCACTCTCTTTTTCCAATATACCTGTTACAACATCAGAATCATCAATAGATATATGTCAGTACCTCATAAAAATCTTTTTCTAACTTTTAAATTTTCCCAAGATAAATGTTTAGCCAATATCCAAATTTCCAATTAACCGTTCGATTAAATTCCAAAGATGGAAGAACTTCTTTGGAGCTATAAACTAATTGATCTATTTTTATCAACATGTGTGTTAGTTGTGAATTTTAAAAGTTTAAAGTAAAATGGAAGAAAAATTTTACTTTAATTTATTTTACCTAAATGATGATGTTGTTCTTGACAATTTTCTTATGTTTGTTTTTTATTTTTTTTATTTTTTTATTATGATTATTACAAGTAAATTTATTACCAATTTCATTATTATCATTAATAATAACTTCTTCCATTACTTCATCACCTTCAACAACTTCATTATCATCATCATTTTGATGACAATCATTCTTATTATTGTAATGATAAAAACTACTATCATCAATATCATTAATATTATTAGTCATATTTCGTCTAAAAACTGTGTTAAAGATGATAAAGATGTAATTGACACTGATGATAATCTAGTAAGTGGAGTGTAACAATATTGGTGATGAAGATGACAAAGTTGGAAATTGATCGTTACTGTTATTATTAGAAAGTGTTGCTGTAACAGACACATAATTTGAAGTTAGAGAGTCTATTAAATTGTTGCTATTTGCGTCAGTAGTGAAAGAATTAATGACGTTGGGGAATATGAAATTGTTATGACTATTATGACCCAAACCTTCAATGGAAGGCAGTTCAACTCTATTATTATTAATATTACTATATAGTGGTGCAAGAGATGATGATTGTTTAGGAAGAAGACTGGAAAACATAGAATTATTATTGTTTAGAAGCAGAGGATATCAAATAAATAATTGGCAAGTTGTTTAGTGAATCATCGAGTCTAACGGAATTGCTATTATTATTACCTTGTAAAGTTGTTGGAGGTGGTAGAGTAATCCTGATATTGTTAGAGACATTTTTTTGGGAAGATGGTTCCACAATTGGTTGTTGGGTTAGCTATATAATAGGATTGTCTAAAAAAAAAATGTGTGAAGCGCGAGGCTTTACATTTGTCAATTTAAATTTAACTGTATATGATTCGAGGAAATTATAAATTAAAATAATATATGCATGGATCTGCTTTTTTAAATAAATCATATAAAAATGATGTAGTATGGATGAATGAATTAGTTAATCAGAATCTAGTGTTAGTTATTAATAGATTTAGCAAAGATAAGGAAATCAGTTTATGATTAGATGGCAATAGTTTTTTTTTTCTCTTGCATTATTTGTTTATTATTATGCTTAAATTGAATTGATCGGAAGTTGATAGAAAATAAAAATATATATATTTAGTGAAAATTGAAATTGTTTGAAAATCCAAATAATAAAATAAAAATCAATTACACAAACAAAGCAGATAATCATAAACTGAAGATTAAAAAAAACAGTTTAATTTATTCTTTAGTTTATTTTGGTTGGTGTAACAAGTAAATCTTATCAAAACAGAAAAGTCTGGATCATTAAGATCAAGATCCTACATAATAATAAGAATACTTTTTTTTTAACTGAAAAAAAAAACCAATTTAATTTTCTAAATTTTCTCAAATAAACTTTATAACGAAAAAAAATAAAAATTAAAAAATAATGGTTAAAGTAGCTGTACTTGGTGCTTCCGGTGGTATTGGACAACCTCTCTCATTGCTTCTTAAACTTAACGAAGCTGTAACAGAACTTGCACTTTATGATATTGTAAATACTCCCGGTGTGGCTGCTGACTTGAGTCATATTAATACACCAGCAAAAGTTCAAGGATACTTGCCAAATGATGATGGACTAAAAAATGCATTGACCAATGTACACACTATAGTTATTCCTGCTGGTGTTCCTAGAAAACCTGGAATGACAAGAGATGATTTATTTAAGGTATTATTAACTATATTAATTATATTATGGAGGATATTCAATGTATAATGAATATTTTTTTTTGATTCATCACAAAATAATATCAATTCAGATCAATGCAGGGATAGTTCAAAAATTAGCAACAGATATTGCTAAATATGCTCCAAAAGCTTTCATTCTTGTCATTTCCAACCCAGTAAATTCCACGGTTCCAATTGTCGCAGAAGTGTTAAAGAAACATAATGTGTTTGATCCAAAAAGACTTTTTGGAGTAACCACACTTGATATAGTCCGTGCTTCCACTTTCGTCAGTTCTATTTCAGATACTGACCCTCGTGAAACTCGTGTTCCTGTGGTTGGTGGTCATAGTGGCGTCACAATTATTCCACTTTTATCTCAAGTCTCACCATCTCACAAACTCACTCAAGAACAAATTGCCTCATTAACAAATCGTATTCAATTTGGTAATATAATGGGGAGTGATTATTTGATGGCTCCAAGTTAATTAGATGTTATTATTAATGTGAAAATGATTATTGCTATTATTAGGCGGTGATGAAGTTGTTAAAGCAAAAGATGGTACAGGATCTGCCACACTTTCTATGGCTCATGCTGGTGCTGTATTTGCATCTTCTATTTTTGATGCAACTATAAAGGGTAAATCTGGTATAGTCGTACAATCTTATATCAATCTTAATGCTGATAAAGAAAACAGCAGCACTCATCTCAAGGATAAAATTGATGGTTTAGAATATTTTTCTTCGAATATTGAATTGGGTGTAAGTGAATTTTTTTTTTTAAAAAATATATATATATATATATGTTTATGAGCATTTATAATTCTTTATTTATGATTTTTATAAACCTTCTTTTTAGCCAAATGGTGTTTCAAAAATTCATCCAATTGGTAATATTTCTGAATATGAAAAGACTCTTCTCAATGCTGCAATCCCTGAATTAAAAGCAAATATCAATAAAGGTGTTTCATTTATACAAGAACAACAATAATAAACAAGAGTTTATATTTATTTATTATAAATAATTTTGTAAAAAAATTTTTTTTTTTAAGGAATAAAAATCAAAGATTTTCTATTTAAATTAAAGTTATTAATAATAGAAATTCGTTGCTATCTTTGACAAAAATTTTCTTATATAGTTATTAATAATGTTGTCATCGCATTGAAGCGTAGCAATACTGATCAAGCTTACCTGCGGTCTCATACCCAATTTCAATTCGTCCCAATTCTAGATTCCACTTTTTCATCCAGCTCTAGTTCAGGAAGAACTCGACCATTACCTACCTATGCGTGGTCTAGCAGGGACAGATTTTTAAACTTCGTAATATTGTCAGAAATGGTAGATTTTGGGATTTCCAAGATTTCAACCATTTCTCTTAAACAGCACCACGTTCAAAAATCTTCTTTTTGACATTTCAATAAATTCAAAAACAAATAATTTTATAAATTTATCAATTTTCTAACGTTAACGAATTTTATATTTTATCGGACAGGAAAGGTCACAAGGACTTGCATTTTAAAAAATAATAATTTGAGAATTTTTGCTAAGACAAGTTTTCATATTTGTGTATTTTTGTGTAAAACACATGAAAATGTCACGAAAATTTACATGATCTGCATTTTGTCCGGTTATTTTGGTATCTTCGAAATCTTTTGATAAAAAAATTAAATCAATATGGAAGATGTTGTTGTTACTGTTAAAAAAAAACAAAAAAAGCAAAAGAAATCCAAAAAAAAAAATCCTATAGAACAACAACAACAACAACATAATATTCCTCCAAGATCATCAGCGGTAATGGGATCACGAACATCAGCCGAAATAATAAAACCACCACTTTCTTTTTCAGCAACCTCAAATAAAAAAAAAGGTTATTTTCAAGGAATGATTAATAAAAAACCTGTTCATATTAGATTCGAAGAAAATTTAGTTCTTTCTGATGACGATGATAAGGTTAGCAAAGAAGATAAATCAGTAAGCAAAGAAAAAAAAGATCAGAATGAAATTAGTCATAATAATAATGATAATTATGAAAAGGGCAGTAAAACAAAAGTTCAGGATGAAATTAGCGATAATAATAACAATTATGAAAATGACAATAAAACGAAAGATCAGAATGGAATTAGCGATAGTAATAAAAATAACACAATAACTAATAATAATAATAATAATAATAATAACAACAAGAATAAGAAGAATAAGAAGAACAAGAAGAACAAGAATAAGAGCGAGAATAATAACAATAATAATACATTAAAATTACCTTCATCTTCTCCTTTATCAAAAGCTGCATTAACGGCACGCTGGTTGGATGGTATTCCGACTGGACCGCCAATAGTAGATGATTTGCCGCCCTCACGTGTTATAATAACAAGAGTAGATTTAGATACCACCGCTAATTCACAGAATAAAAAGGGAGAAAAAAGGAAAAAGGTAGCAAAGGGAATTCAGCAGCATGATAATTATCAAATAAATCAAAATGAACATCAAGCAGAAATTGATGATGATGATGATGATGATGATGAATATTATTATAGAAATCAAGTCAAGAGTGCAAAGCGAAGCCGAATTCATCAAGATGACAATAATAATGCATCATCATCATTATCAGCAAATAATAAGAATGATGATGACAACGGTGAGGAAGATGATGAGGAAATTCAGGAAGATAAACAACAATTGATCGTTGATTACGAAAAATTAGAAGTTTATGAAAGTAGACCTAATATTGGTGATAATATTGCTTATAAGGTGCGATTTTTAATTCTAAATTATTATTATCATAATAACTATATGTTTGACATTAATATACTGTTGATAATATTATAGGTTATTGAATTATCCGATAATTATACACCTGGATTATCAAGATATAAGGTAATTAATATTTTAAATTTTTGTGGAATAAAGATTATGATTATCGATGAAAGTTAACTATTTCACTTTTATATTTGTAACATATTAACAAATAGGAAGCAACAATAATTGGATACGAACCGATAACAAATCAAGTCACATTAACGTTTTCTTCCGCAAACCCAAATCAAGAATTAAAAAAAGATTTTAATTTTATAAATAACAATGAATTTGGAAAATTTAGTCTTTATGATTTGGGTGATGAATATATTCTTGATAGTCAGATTGAACCACCAAAAATATTTACAATAAAATGGGAAGAATTACATGATGTTCGCAAAATAATTAAATAAGCTGTAATTAAAATAATAAAAAAATAAAGATTCTTTTTTTATTATTGTGTCATTTTTATATGAAAAAAAAAATATTATATTAAACCATTAATAACAACTAATAATTAATAATAAAAATTAATACATTTATTCTAACATTAAACGGGTATAAATTATAATTAATATGAATAAAAAAATTTATTCTAAGAATTTTTTCCTTGATTGGAATCTAACCAAGGATTATCTTGACCTTCGCCAATTTCTTCATAATCAGCTGATGCACCAAATGGCATTGGTGAATATTTGTCGGTATTAAAATCAAAGGATGTATCAATATATGGTGAATAATAGCTTGATGATTCTCGATTACTAGTAGTAAATTGATTATTTTCTACTTCAATTGTGTTTAAATCATCATTACTTGTGCTAGTCCGTCTGTCATTAATTGATGATGCTGCATTTGAATGTCTTCTATTCAACAAATTAATTTGTTTAATTCCCGTTATTAAACTGTCATCATTATTATCATCATCACTACTATCGTTAATTTGATTATTAACGATGGTAGAAGGTATGTTGCTTTGACGTCGATGCCAAACATTTGTAAGATTTTCAGTATAGGTTGTTGGACTAATGATTTTTATATGGTTAAATTGTTGCCGTTGTAGTTGATTCAGTTCTTCCGATTCATCATCATCTTCAACACCAACGAGATCCTCATCACCTGTTACCATTGGATTTGGAACCGGCGAATCTTCTTCTATTTTGGAAGAAGTATTGATTGGTGGTAATGGTAACGGTGGTGAGGGTAAAGTCAAATTAGGTTCAGGTAAATCATCAAAAAAATCATCTTCTAATTCACCAGCAACAAATTCATCAATGACATTTGTGTCTGATGATAATGTTACTGTTGTTGATATTGTTGATGTTGTTGATATTGTTGTTGTTGCTGTGGTTTTCTTGGTGTTTTTTTCCGGCAAGTCTACTAATTGTGATGATTTTTGTGATGATTTTTCTATAATTACTGGGGTATTATTTGATTTTTTTTTTTTGCCAGATTCTTTTTTTTTGTTTTTATGAGTTTTTTCCTTTTTTCCAATTTTATTATCCCACAAATTGTTTATTTGATCTTTTTCTAATTGGTCAAACTTGATTTCTGCTATATGAATAGATATAAAAATAAACATAAATATATTTATTGTTTAATATCATTGGGAGGGGGGCAATAATGATTAAAAACAATGACAAACTTTCTAAATCATCTATTTGAATATTTTCACTATAATTTTGAGTTGGAGAAGGTGGTGAAAATTGTTCAACATCATCCAATGATTCAAGAAGTTTTGCTAATTCTTTAGTTTTTAATTGTAATTGTTGTTGAAGAATATCTCTCTAAAACAAATTCAATTATTCATATTATGATATGTAAATATAAATTAATGGTATATATTAAAATTATATTAAATGATCTACCTGCAATTGTAAAAAAGGAACACCAAAATATTTATATATGTATTCTAAACCTAATCCTGTAAGCATACTAGTTTCAACATAACGGATCATATTTGCAGATGGATAATTCTTTACACGGTATCTGTTAATGTCTGCCAATGATTGATATATTCGAGAATGTGTGATCACTCGTTGTTCACTTTTAGGTTTTTTTTTGTGTTGAGAATATTAATTGACATAAGTATAATATACTGATTGTGAGATGTAAAAAACGTTAGAAATATATCTACCTCAAATCACTGAAATTACCCTAAATAATAACAACAAAAAGATATTACATACATACATACATGCATACATACATACACACATATAGTTATAAACAAATACTTACCAAGAGTAAAACTGTCATGGAATCAGGGATTGATTCCAACTTTTTAATTGCATAATCAAAAGTCCAACTTTTTGTAATGTCAAACATTAGAATTATACCATGTGTATTTCTGTAAACATCAATGGTTGCTGCATCCAGTGTTAATTGTTCTGGTGGTAAATTTACTCGAGAATTTGATGATGATAAAGCTGATACTAAAAGTATGAATTAATTTGTTTTGTGTGATGATATATATATATATATATGTATGTATGTAACAACTTTTTAAAAATTTGCTTTTCCTCTTCTCTCCTACCTTTATTTACCTTGATTATTGTCTATTTTCAGACTAGTATCTGAAGTTATTGACCTTTCTACTGTTGAATTTATTCCTTTATCTACAACATCCCATATTTCTACTTTGATCACATCATTTGTATGAATATAATCCCATTGTATATTTGCTACTTGTATTTGTGGTGTAGATAAATACTCTTTGGAAAATACTTCTCCTTGCAATCTATTGACTTTTATTGGTAGGTGTAATGATCATTATATACTCTCATATATAAATATGTATGTATGTATGTATGTATAAATAATTTAGAAGGAATGGTATAACTTACATAATGTTGTTTTTCCAGTTCGAATATCACCGCGTATTATTATCTTCACTGATATCATCATTTAATAAATAAAAATTTAAAACTTAAATAATAAAAAATTTTGAGGATCTTTGACACATACTATTATATTGAACACCTTTTTTAAATATTCCTTGCATCGGTTTGAGATTTCCATTTTGTGAAGTGTCAAAATTTGCCGCCACTTTAGTTTGTTCGTTACCCTATGTAAAGGATAATTAATATTATATAAATATAAATAATTGAAAGTCATAAATAGTAATAAAAAATCATTTAACTGACCATTTTGTTTTATTACTATTATTAATTCTACAAAAAAATCGGAGCATAATGGACATTCGAAATGAAGATCCTTTTTTATGTTGTGTAACACACAAACAACTTCAATTGGGGTTGTAAATTTCAAAATATTATTGGCCAACTGTGACGATCAATGATATAAATAGACTAACTCACAAACAGAATCACGTGGCATTGTATGTCATTACCTTTTATGGTAGAAACTCCAACCTCTTCTCTATAATCCGAGATCCCACCAAAGATTAAATAATAATAACAGCCAGGCGACTTGTCACACCAGTTAATTATCATATATGCGGGCTACACCGAAGATAAAAACAACAAACAAAATCCAAGTCCAAGTAAGTACTGAAACTGTAATATTTTCTAGTCATTAGTTGTTTTTCATTTTTAAATTAGAATCAAATTTATAAGTGCAATCTGTGCCAACACGATTATTAGTATAAAAACATTAATGGTTTACGAAGACAAAGCTCAAATATAATAATCTCATCAGAAGTTCCAGAATTTCTGGTTAGGCGAATTAAACAAGAAATTATATCCGGTTTTTGGAATTGTTACAAAAATAATAGAAGTGTCATGAATAAAGCTCCGAAAATTTTCGGTTTATATCTTTAGGCTAGACAGTAATGTTGTTTGACGAAATGTTACCAAAGTTGTAAAACTATTACGTCAAATTCGCTGCCATTAAGCCAAAAATGACGCAAGTAAAATTATAAAAAAAAACTTGTAAATATGTATTCCAAGGTCTTTTTTTTAATATTTTTCTTGTGCATTTTTCATCAGTTGTTCCCAAGGAACTACTAATTCGGGGCTTATATTAATAACGTGATACATGATCGGTGTAGATAAAATCATCTATTAGTACTTTATGTTAACAAATGAAAATTTTACGCAAAAGCTATGGAAATTTTTATAACATATTGATTGATTAAGCTACTTTGCAATAATAAACACACATCTTCATCTTTATCCTTATTGCAGTGACCAACGAAAGGATAATTAACATTCTAATAAAATAAAATTCTATGATAGAATCATTATTTTTATTAAACGTTAATAGGCTTTTAAAATAAAATAAAAATAAACCGTTATTTTTATTTTCTTTGACTGATAAAAGCAAAAAGTGTAGTTTGTGTCTTGGTAAAAGGTAACAATTGTGGATCTTTGATAAAAAGCTATGTTAGTGAGCATGTAAGCAAAGTTAGGACTGATGTTGGTTAACTAGTGGGTGTTAACAACGATTAGTAACGTAATTTGCTTTTAATGAATAAGCAAAGGTTTGGATTGACGTTGGTTAACTAGTGGGTATTGATAAAGTATCGTCCAAAGGTTAATCGGAAATACTGATATTATTATTGTAGTCGTAAACGTAAGGCTGTTAAACAAGCTGCTTAAGTTGTTTTGCAAGTAAACCAAAATGAATTTGCAATTGGTCAGCAAACAACTGAAACAAATCGAATAAAAAGAACTTTATAGTATTGCAAAAGGGCCATATTTCAGTTATCTGATTATTGTGAGCTATTAACTGACCAAAAGTTAAGCCATAATTGTTAATTAACCGAAATGATACCTTGCAATGTCATCATTTAACAAGAATCAAAAATTGTAAAAAGTTTATTATTGTTATATATATAAAATAAGGATGAAATAAAAAGATAAAAAAAAGAAGATAATAAATTTATAGTGGAGATTAAATTAGGCATTCATCTTTTACTATTGTTACTAGAATTTAATGTTTATTAATTAATTAATTAATATCGTTAGTAATAATCAATGGATAGTAATTTTCAATTAATTAATAATGAAATTTTTGTTCACCTTTGTTAACATTTTAGAGAAAAGAGTCACAATCAAGATTATTTAACGAACTATTACTTGTAATTTTCAAGCTTTTAGATTTAGCAATCTCTTCATCTAATATTCTAATTGTATGATATGCATCTGGATGTGGTTTGTGTACTTGTTGCGAATCACCACTACCACTGCTACTAGTAGTATTATTGCTATCATTATTTTTAATAATTTCTTCAAGTTTATTATCAGCAAATGTCCAAAATTCTCCACTAGTTGGTCTTTTTGATGGATCCACATCCCAACACCTCTGCATCATTTGTGCATAATCATCAGGCATTCCAGGTAGTATTGGTGGTCGTAAACCTTCACATATATCAAAAATCAAACGATGATTGTGAGCTCTATCATCAAATGGTGGATGACCTGCAAATATTTCCCACATTAACATCCCAACACTATAGATATCAGATTCTTTTGTATTCTTTGTATTCTTTGTGCCTCTAAGTAATTCGGGTGCAACATATGATACAATTCCATAGATTTTATTTGATGATTCATCATCAACTGGCCCACATAATCCCAAATCTGTAATAAAACAATTGCCTCCTTGTACAAGTATATTACCACTATGTAAATCACAATGGATTAAATCTTTCCAATGTATCTGATATAATGCATAACATAAATAATAAAATATTGTAATTCTGTCCTTTAATGTTAGATTTTTTTGTAAATAATCCCTTAAATTTCCATCTGATAAATAAGTTAAAACAATTGCATAATTTCCATTATCTGGAAATTTAGTTATACCAAAGCACTTAACAATTGATGATGATTTAATTTTACAATAATTCACTGCCTGAGATTGAATATAAAATCAATTAGTATTATATAATACAGATTGTTTATTTTGTTCAAATGACAACTACCAACCTCATCAAAAAAGGCTTTTCCTGGATTACTTGAATTGTTTAAACTTTTTAATACTACTAGTTGCCCTCTATCTCCAAAATAACTAAATTCCTTTGTATTTTCATTGTAATCATCAATACTTCCCCTTATCCATCCAGCAGTAAAAATCGAACTGAATCCATCTTCAGTCAACTTTGTTATATCATAAAATTGCTCAAAAGGTATCCATTCTAAAATACAGTCTGGCAGGGATGATTTCATTTGACATTGTTGAATAAAATCATCAATTATGTTATTCCCAGATGTCCAGGTGGTGAAAAGACTCTGTAATTGTAAACCAATGCAACCTTCACAGAATCTATCAGAGTATCTTATCAATTTACATTTGTTACATTGTTTTGGTTTGCCCCATTTATGTGTTGCATTATCTAATTCAAACTTATAAATAAACCTTTCCTTACAATATTCCTTTTCATTTTCAGAAAGCTCCTTGTTTTTTTTGACCAATGAAAAAAAATAATCTTTTCTACTTTCATTACCATATGAATTGATACAAATTTCATTATAAATTTTATATACAAAATTCTTTCTTTCTGGTGATGATGATGATAATCGGTATTCATATGACATTATATAAAAATATAATATATAAAATTCGACTTGGTGTTTTAATGAATAGAATGGAGATTTGAAAGGTTTCTGTGTTACGGTTCCTTTCTAAATGTCGTAAATTTTATATCTTGTGTAAATTATTTTTCTTTATATACCCAAATTTGAAATATTCTGTTGTAAAGGAAACTAGAAACGGTAAATTCAGTGCAGTTACGGTAATATCAAATCACGAATATTATGAATTATTGGGGGATCAGTTTTTTTCTTTTTTGCTATGCCAACTTGAAATTGATTTGAAAATTTGAATGATGATGATAACAACCAAAGTAATCAGCCGTGACAAAAATTTCTACCAACTATTTTCTTATTTAATTGTGATAAAATGATTCTACTATGCAAGAGTTATGTGAAGAGCTTCACCTTTAATGATGTTTTACATATCATTTAAAAATCTCACATCTTTGTAAAACAACTTCACAACAAAAAGAAATGATTGTTCAATCAATTATTCTATATCCAAAGAATCCTAAATAAAAATAAACCAACATTTACGGCAAAATAAAAGTTGCAAAGCATTGGTTCCATAGCTATATGAAGAAGGGAAAATTATTTTCGTGTTGTTGTTCATATTCGAACATACAACACATTTTATTTTCATAAGAGCCATTTTATCATATAAAATTAATCCAATGAAGAAGTTCATTGTCGAATCCACTCCAGTTCAATGTTATTATCAAAATGCAGCAACAGCATCATGTTGCAAAAAGAAATCATCAAAAGTTCGAGGGAAACAAAGATATAAGGCACCTATCTACCTATCAAGTTCAACAATGTTCTAAGCTAAAATACTAGAATGTAGAATGTTCCATAAACAATACATAATAATAACTCTCAATAACATTATATCTCTTGCACTAAAAAATTTATTACATATTTTAAAACATTCATTTCGTTATTATTAAAGAGAAACAACTTCACCATCATCCTTAACTGCTAAATCATTAACAGCCATTTTTAAAGCTTTTACAAATTTCCAGACCTCAGAAAAAGTATTATACAAAGGTGCAGGGGCAACTCTAAGACAATTTGGTTCTCTTATATCAACCACTATTCCATAAGTCATTAACTCTTTATGAATAGAACGTACTTTTTCTGAATCAAAAATAAGTGATAATTGACAACCTCTCTGATGATGATGATGATGATGATGATGATGATGATGATAATACTACTAGTAGTGGTGGTAATTATTTGCAACAAGTACACAAATCACATCCAGATGCATATCATAAAAGTAGATTATTAGATGAAGAGATTGCTAAATCTAAAAGCTTAAAATTTTATACAAGTAATGATAGTTTGTTGAATAATCTTGATTTCAACTTTTTTCTCTAGAATGTTAACAAAGGTGAATAAAAATTTTATTATTAATCAATTGGAAATTACTATCCATTAATTATTACTAACTATTAATTAATTAATTAATTAATAGACATTATATTCAAGTAATAGTAAAAAAAAAGATGCGATGAGTGACTTATTTAATCTACACTATAAATTTATTATTATCTTTTCATTCATTTTTTATTTTATCCTTATTTATTTATCAAGCTAAATTATAATAATAATGTTTTGAAATAATAAACTTTTATGGTTTTCCGATTCTTGTTAAATGGTGATATTACGAGGTGTCATATAAAGACACCTGACGTAATTGGTTATTTGTTGCAATGGTAACTGTTATTACAAAATATTTACAGTTGCCGCAAATAGATGCGGTTACCACAAACAGATACGGCTGCTATAAGTATTTGCGGCTGTTGCAAATTTTATTTTACACATAATTTTACTGTAAATTAATGACCGACTAATTGAATTCATCAAAAAAAAATTCAGTTGCTAATAATTCAAGAGAATTTTCGCATGACTAATATGACTAATGACAATAATTTCCAGCGGTCGTGGTTATTTGCGGTGACCGTAATTATTTATGGCAAATGGTAACTACCAACAACTATTTACGGCAATGGTAGCTACCAGCCCAATCATTTACGGCATGCGTCTTTAGCGTCATGCAATTATGGCTTAACTTTGGGCTACTCTTGTCAGTTAATTGCAAATAATTCGGTGCTTGTCAATGAATTAGGTTACAAATTTACTTTGGTTCCCACTTTCTTGCACCTAGACTAATCTATAGTCCTAACCTTTGCTTACTCACTAAAGCAAATTACGTTACTAATCGTTGTTAAAACTTACTAATTAATCAACGTTAGTCCTAACCTTGATTGCTTGCTCACATTAAACGTGGCTTTTACCAAAGCTCCACAATTGTTACCTTTTACCAAGGCACCAACTACTCTTGTTGCTTTTATCAAACAAAGAAATAAAGATATTGTTTTCGTTTTTATTTTTTAAAAGCTTATTAATTGATGAATGATAAAAATACGGGGGAAATTTTATATTAAAAGATCGACAAAAAAATATTTTACACAATAAATATTTAAAAAATTCTATTCTTGCAAAATTATCATTTTAAAATGTCAATTGAATTTAATTCAAGTT